AGAACAATGTCAAATATTAACCCTGATAGTTCTAACTCGTACGATCATCTGTTAAAACGCCGTCTGCTCAGCGAGTGTCGGTGGCTGTAGTTTGCGTCCACAGCATCCGTCACGTCGGCGCTCATCCATTTACTGTTAACGTGAGAGACGGGATGTCTTGAGCTTAACTTTATGCAAATGTGACGCATCAAGCATCTCTGGAAACTTTCAAAAAAACTTCCAAACTAATTGGTATTGATCCAAAGCAGCAAGAAAACATTGATGCTGAAATCATTTATTGAGCAGCCTGAAATATCTCATCAGGTCACAACTTTTTGATTTTAAAGCTTGATGCAGAAACAAAACTCACACAGTTTTAATTTTTCACAACTAATCTACAAGAGAAGACTGATGAAAGATGACTTCCTCTGATTTGAGAGTTTATTTCAACTTTATTAGAAAACATGCAGTTTGTTGACTCGACACAGAAACACTGAAAAGGAAGATTCAAAACATCAGCTGCATGGAAATACTTCAGCTACAGAAATTATGACGTTGAACTAAAACTCTATGAACAAGAGGAAACGCAGCTAATTACTTCCTGTTACCATTTAAACCAGCAGTCTTTACCGTCTTACGTCTTTACCAGCGTTTTTCCATGAGAAGGAGCCCAAACAGGTTGTTTTTTTGCACCTTTTTGTCTATTTTCGATGCAGATGCTCCCCACGTCACTCCAGGGTGATTCATTCTTTCCAAACCTGGTTATCGGTGAACATTTCTTTCACATCACAGCGGAGCTAAATGCTGCGGCGGATGCGTTTCTTCCTCCCGATGTTCAGCCCCTCGCCAAGCCTCGTCCTTAAATTGCCTGGGAGGAAACTAATGAACCTTAATGGTTCATGGATGGCTTGGCACAAAATCACTCCCAGTCAGCAGCGGCTCCATTGATTTTGTTGGGTTCGTCAGATGGCGGCGGGTCAAAGGTCGGCGCTTTATTGAGCCGTCAAATAAAGCCGCTCTCGGAGTTCGGCTGCTTCGCGGAGATCCTCGGCTCCACGGTTCTTTAAAGCGTATCGGCGGCAGCACTCCTCTGCTCACGTCTCTTCCCGCCGCCTTGATGTTTCCACTCGGCTCTCATGAATAAACCCACCGGCGGCAGCACCGACGGTCCCGCTTGCTAATACGCGGTAATCCTCCATCTCTGTCGGTATATGGACCGAGAGTAAAGTTCCCTCCGCCGCCGTTTGATCTCTCTCGACGGCTTTGATGGCGCCGTTTGATCTCATTGTTTCCCGAGCGACCTGGAGCCTCTCCTGTCCAAACATTTATCCGCTGCAGAGGCCCCCGCTGCTCTCCGCGAACCCGACGGGGAGGAACACGACGGCTGCTGCGACTCCGCCGGAGAGCGGTTTAACCAAAGCTCTGGCGGAGGCTGCCGGGGATTCCAAGACAGTTTTCCTCGTAATAAAGCTTCCTGGAAACACGCTGGCGCTGCTCGCAGGCCGGCATCCAAATGAGAGCAGCCGCAGATGTTGCCTTGACCGACTTTTGTTTAGGTTCGGTCCTGGATGCCGAGTCTTTATGTTCTCAGTAGAATGCAGCAAAGCATGAAGGCTTTGATGTTGGACGCACATGAAGCCGTTTGATGTTCTGGATATAGAACTCACGGACTGTTTTCTCTTTTCATATCGCCCTCAGAAGCGTAGCCATGCTTTACTTGTGCCAACTCAAGGGAGCACGAGGGACTAATCTCCTTGTTGATTAAATGGAAATTTAAATTTAGGCTAGCTCCAATCTGGGTGCAGTCGTTTCACATGTAGTATGTTTAGTTCACCTTTAGAAGCTTTTGTCCTAAACAAAGTTGAGTTGAAGCAGATCTTGTGCAGTAAAGGCAGTCACCTTTTCCACGCCATCTGCAGGTTAAACATGTTGGTTGCAGAGCATGGCTATCGTTTCCTTGCAGATTCTGGCGCAGCATACATGCAAACTTATTTACATTTTTCTGAGCAAAATGCTGCCAAACGGTGCTGGTAGCTCACTGGGAGTCCTGGGTTGGACACAGCAGTTCACAGACGTTGTATATTATTATACTATNAAGTTAAAGTATTTGATGCAGAAATGTGTCTCTGTGGCTGTAAATCATGAAGAAATACGTTTCCCTTCCTGCTGTTTACTGATATTTACCAATCTTTGAAAGAAGAATAAATTAAGGAGTGAAAAATGGTAAAAACAGTTATTTTCTAGATTTTCCATTTCGTTCAGTAACAAATAAATTCTAGTGAATCGCAGAAAAAGTACTGATTTACACGATAAAACAGACAAAACTGTAAATCAGAAATTTATGTTTTTTACAAATGATAATCTGTTCCTTGAAATTACTGTTTAAATGAATTTATAAGATTTTTTGCACTATTTCTACTGTATTAATTGAACAAGAGACATCACAACTTTGCAGATTTTGCAATTAAATAAAAAGTTATGTATATTAAGGATTTAAAAATGGTAAATATTTCAGTTTTGGTAAAAATACTGATAAAAACTAGTAAAATGACAATTCAAAAAAAGAATTACTATTTGTAGAAACATGTTTTTGATTATTTTTTTAAATTGGCAGGATTCAAATATCAGTAAATGAACATAAACTGAAATAGTAAACACTCCATGAAAAATCCCTGAATATTTGTTT